GGTGGGAGACATACCGTTCCGCCGACAATACGTCCCAATGGATACCAGGCCCGCTCATCAAACCAATTGAGAAAGTTGTAGTACCCATGCTCTACCATATAATGGGTGGACCGGTAGTTAAACCTGTGATGAGATGATAAAAGACGGCATTTAGTGCGTGGATTGCGTGAAGCAATGGTGTATGCAATGCATGGGGAAGGGATGGGGAAGGGATGGCACGACAAGAAGTGTGTGAGAAAGTGATGTCTCATAAGTGATGAGTTGTACAAACCATGGGTCGAACTCATGGATAATGCTCTCGAAGCGGATGACGGCGAAGAGTCGCGAGCAGAAGCCGGCCAACCAGGCGAGTGCCAGCACTGTGACCCTCAGAAGGGACTGTCTGCCCAACACGTCCGCCGAAGCACTTCTGTGGCCCTCTTTTGCACGCGAAGACGATTTGCCGGTTGTTATCGCCATTGCTTACAGTCATCACACACTCAACACCACTGACTGTACACATCATAGGCTCACACACTCTCGCACTGTGCGAGACATACGCTGTGCGATACCAATACTTCACACACCCTTCCCACTCACCCTTCCCTTCAAATCATTCATTAGTGTTGCTAATTATTATGACTATCTGACCCTACTCACTTCATTATATAATAACAGATGCATAATTGGATGGATTTTAATTTTTAAAATTCTATTTCTTATAAGAATTGTAAGAATCGACTCAATATTCCGGCAATAATTCTCTTTCGTGAGGAACTCTTTATTCAATACAAACTTATTCTATGCTATCATTTGTTGACTACAATAACGGCATAAACTGTATTACATAACGACAACTCATTTAGTTATAAACTCTAAGATAAATGTGTTTATAAAACAAATTTATGTAAATATTTAACAAATCATACATTGATTATCAATCTATTTAAATGTAATCCTACAGAATATCCTAAACTAAAAGCCATTTCACAATTCCCTGGACACCCCCTCCCTATCCATTTCACGTCATAATTGTGTGGCCCTTATGTGCCATTAGAGCGCATGTGTTGTGTAAGTGTTTGTCAATTGAATAGATTGTCAATAAAACAACTCTTGGTTTGTCTTCACTTACCATTGAATTGAGGACTAAATTGGAGACAATTATTGACACAAATCATCGCAACATTGGTCCCAATAGGACACACATGAATGGCTTCGCATACTTTTATGCGGATTAAGAAGTATCACTCATTTGATGACCAAATAGAGAGACATTGATTGTCACTAATTGTGTGATTTGTTTGGACAGAGATCTGAGTTCACTGATAGTGACGGACCCACTGCCGGGCATTATAGCGGTTCCGCACGAGTCGGACATCAGCCAAATCGATGCCCTCATAACGGGTCCCTTTGATACCCCCTATTGCGGCGGATTCTTCTTGTTTCGGATCAACTGTCCGCAGGATTACCCCATTTGGTAGATATAATGAATGAGTGTTTGTTAAGACATCATAACTAATGCCAATGCAATGCTTGTGTCCACTGCCAGCCCTCCCAAAGTGAAACTGTTGACCACATGCAACGATACGGTCAGATTCAACCCTAACCTCTACAAGAATGGCAAAGTATGTCTCAGTATTCTGGGGTCA